AAGAAGCCAGCATAGTCCACGCCGGTGTGTAGGAATGGTCTGGAAGGGGTGACTCTAGGTTCGGGTAGGTCTCCCATGAGAGCGGACAAAGGTTTAGGGTTCAGCTTGTAGCAAGCTACACATTTACGAATAACAGCCTTAACTAAGGATTTACCATGTATAGGCCAAAAATTTTGTCTCACGAAGGATAGGGTCGATTGGATCCCAGGGTGGAAGTTCCTTTGATGCTCATGGGTTATGATCAGACGGGTAAAAGGATGGTTTTGAGGCAAAAGCATAGGATGCTTAGCCTGGTAATCAAGGTTTGAATATTGAAGCCGTCCACCGACTCGCAAAACTCCGTGTGCATCGAGAAATGGGTTAAGAGCTTTTAGTTTACTTTGAATCTTTAAACCATTTTTCGATTTGAGATCTTGTCTGTCACCAGTGGCGGCTCGTGAAAATCCAAACTGGTGAGGCCCATGGCCCATCAAGTTAACCCAAACAAACCCAAACAAAATTTTCAAGTGTTACGCCCAAATTTTGACCCAAAATTTCATCAAAAGAACATCTCGGATATTTTTTTTTGTATATTTCTAATGAAAATTTTCATTTCTTACAGTTGCAAAACAACGGCAGTAGGTACATAACTCTTATTTTAATACAAATATTGAGTTTCAAATTAACAAAATAAATTCCAAAAAACAGTTTTTTAACCCGCAACAGACCAAAATAAAAAGTATGAGCCAATTAACCAATTAAATACTTGTCGCAGCAGCAAGCGATGCAAGGTTTCCTATTAACAAGCCCAAAATTGTGCGCCTCAATGCCTATAAAAATTCGCTATCGTCTCACCTACAGTCGAAGCGTTGTGGTGGGGAGTGCCGTGGCATCGCTTCGGCGTTCCGTGACGCACATGAGGCCAAAATTTTTGGGATTGCTATTTTATTTTAATGCTGTCCGGCAACGATTTGAGCGCCTATATAGATAAATAGGTAGAAGCGCGCGCTAAATTCAAGAAATAGTATTATATTTTAATGAAAATTCGATGTTTTGAATCTTTTAATGATTGAAAATAGTTGAAAAACGTTAAATATTTAATAAATATTATTTCAAAATTTTACATCATTATTGTAATTTTTACATGTGAGGCCCGGCCTCAGTTGCTTTATACGACGAGCCGCCACTGTCTGTCACTGGAAAAATATTCATTTTGCACCATAATAACTAGGGTGCATAAAGACTTATTGCGCTCAAAGGGTGTTAACTCTCCAATTCGACGACATGACTTGGGTATTTTTGAGTTCTGGGTAAATCGGATGCAATAGGCAGTTACGTTAACTAACTTATCGTAATCCGAAAATTTATCGAATACGGGGTTTCTAGCAGTATTAGATGAACTAAGAAATATGGATTTATTGTTTATCTCCAAGATTTCAGGATCGAAATTTTTACGATGATAATTTGAAATATGGGCTTCGCTAGACCAATATTCGGTAGGTTGTGACAGAAATGATGGGCCGTGCCACCATAGGGAACAAGTTTTTAGATCCTGAGGACCTATGCCCCTGGAAATAATGATGTCAGCTGGATTGTTTGCATGAAGGTATATCACTAAATCCATGGAATTCAAGGGATATGACGTTTTTAATTGTGACTTGCCGAGGTATCTTAAAATAGTCAACTAGGGATAAATGATAGGTGAAGTTTTTCCAAATCCGAAATATCGCCTTGGGAACTGGATCATCCTAGTCTATTTTGAGAAGCCACAGTTTCTGAAGGAGAATTTTAACCTGAACTACAATTGGACCAAGGAGACCCAAAGGGTACAGTATTGTTCTTTTGGTAACTGATTTAGAGTGATTGGATTCAATGGCTGAAGTATATATAAACAAATCTTGATTAGAGTTCCAAAAAATTCCCAATGCCTTTGTGCTCTGAGTATCATTAAGGATAAAGTGAGTGTCACTTGAAGCTTCAGAAGTTAAATCTGATAATACTTCGGGTTCATTTGAACAAAACTTTCTCAGGTCAAGTCCATAGTCTTTTAGCAAACCAACAAGATTTTTCCTGAGGGTGACAAGTTCTTCTTTGGTATCAGTACCAGATAAAATGTCATCGACGTAACAATCGAAACGAAGTACATGACTTTCATGAGGATAGTCCTCTGCAGCCTGGTCGGCAATTTCTTTTATACAACGAGTAGCTAAGTAGGCGGAACTTGCCATTCCGTATGTAACGGTATTAAGTTCGAAATGACGAATTTCTTCATTTGGATCTTTACGCCATAATATACGCTGAAGGTTGCGCTGGCTGGGATCTAACAAAATTTGCCTGTACATTTTGGCGATGTCGCCTATAAGAACATAATTATGTTTGCGAAACTTCAGAAGAATGGAGAAGAGATCGTTTTGAACATTAGGACCGACTTTAAGAGTGTCATTGAGGGATACTCCAGTACTTGAGATACACGAGGCATCAAAAACCACTCTCAATCGCGTAGTGGTGCTATTAAGCTTTTCTACACCATGATGTGGGAGGTAATAGATCGGATATTTAGAAGTGATTGATTGCTCAGGATCAATTTCGGATATGTGGCCCAAAGATAAGTATTCGTCAATGAAATCAGAATATGATCCTTTAATTGCTGGGTTTTTTTCAAACTTTCATTCTAGGGAATAAAACCGTTTTAAAGCAGGCTGCAAGGAATCGCCTAGCTCAAAAACTGTGAGCTCACTAGGAAGTTCTACTATGAATCTGCCGGTGGGATCACGGCGAGTTGTGTTTTGAAAATGTTTTTTCACATTCAAGTTCTTTCTTTGAAAGGGCTTGTGGAATTTGCTCTGTGGTTTCCTCAGTTTGCCAGAATTTTTCTAAACTGTTTTGAAGTACATTGGTACAGATAAGTGATTGACGGGGGGTATAAGAAATATTCGCTATTAAAGATATTGGACCGCTTATGATCCATCCAAGCTTAGACTCTTGTAGAATAGGATTACCTCTACCAGTCTTTATTTGCTTAGGACCAAGACGTTCATAGAACAAACCAGCGCCTATTAGAACGTCAATTTCAGAAGGCATGTGAAAATCTGAGTCCGCAAGAAGCAGGTCATTTGGAATTTTCACTCTAGAAGGATCAATGGGAAATTGCGGAGTGAGTTCTGTTATTTTGTTTATCACTAATGTGGGTATCTTTACAGAGTAATTAAGGAATTATTGAAGAGTATAAAATGCCAGGCACTAATAGCGCTAGGCGATATTTTGACGTTTTTGAGACGTGCGCGTTGTGGCAGTACAGTTTATTTTTAGTGCCGCGCCACTAATAAAGTTTGTGCCTGTCACTATCTGTGGAAAATAAAAACAGGCCATAAACAGGCACAGTCTCGTCCCTATGTCTCTTCTTTTTTTTAAGTTGACGTCCGTCAAGGCCGAGGTCAAGGCTTATTCAAATGTTAATTTCACTTTTTTGTGAGCCAAACTAGCGCCCGCCACAGTCAATTTTGAGTCGGCACTAAAATGGCACAGTCAACTGCGGCCGTATTTCAATAATTCCCTATTACTTATTAGAGTAATTAGTAATAAATTATAGTCGATTTTATATGCAGCTGAGTGCGTTTGCTGAGGTTTGTCACATCTGGGCCAATGCCAGAGACGGAAATATTTACTGTGTGGTAAGACAAATCGAGTAATTTGAACAATTTTTCAGTAATAAAATTTGTTTGGCTGCCATTATAAGAACAGCTTTGCAAAGGATAGGTTTGCCATTTTTGTCATAAACGTATATAGATGCCGTAGACAACAGTACGAAGTAATTGAGCTTTTGGTTGGGACAGTGGAAATTTTCATTATTTTGACTCACATTTGGTATATTTGAATGAATAGGATCATTAAAGTCATTTGGATTTGAACTTTCGAAGATCAGGTTATCATCGACTACATAAGGATGTAGGACGTTATTAGAACTGAAGAGTGAGGTTTGAGGATTGGCATTTTCGCTCAGGAGTTTAGTTTCTAGGGTTAGAAATCCTTGTGTGATTTGAATTGGTGTTTTGGGCTGGGTTGCGATTGATCTTGTTGCATATCTCTCGATTGAGGTTGCAAAGAGGATTTGTGCTGATTAGAATTGAAATTTGAAATATGGTTGGCTTCATTATGTAAAAGAGTGTGATGTTTACCTTGACATTTTTTACAGCTATAAATTGAACGGCATTCTCCATTCCGATGTCCTGACCGCAAGCAGTTGGTGCATAAATTTCCCTTTTTTGCCTCAAAAAACTTACTTGCTATTGGCAAATCTAGGAATTTTCTACAAGAATAAACAAAATGATTATCTTTGCATAGAGGATAAGACGAATTGGAATTTTGAGAAATTAATGCTTTGCGTTCCAAAGGTTTTCCAAATTTAATAAATGATTTTTTAGTGTTTAATTTAAAATCTAGAGATTCTAGAAAACGGCAACGCTGGGATAAAAAATTTAAAAGGTCTTGTGTTTTTGGTTTCTCAATATCTTTAGCAAAAGTTTCTAATTCCTTACGAGTTTTAAAATCTAATTTGGAACTTAAAATGTGAATAATAAGCGTGCACCAGTGATCTACAGGCTCATTGAGATTTTGCAGTGACTTAAAATTGTTTTGAAAGGCATCTAAAAGTTTTCTTAAATGTGTATAAGACTCGTCCTTCACAGTGGGTAAATCAAAAATACATTTGACATGAGAATGTATGATCGCCTTTCGATTCTCGTATCTTTCTTGTAATAAAGACCAGGCTGTGGCATAGCTATTACCAGTAGCAGCCAAAGAGCTAATAACTTGAGCGGCTTCCCCTTGTAGAGTAAATTGTAGATAGTAAAATTTTTCGACATTGTTAATTTGTGTATTTTTATCTATGAGTGAAACAAAGGTGTCCCTAAAATTGGTCCATGTTTCATAGGAACCATTAAATTAAGGAAGGGGAATGGGGGGAAGACGTGGACCATACTGACTACCTGACTGAAAGAGAGGCAATTGCGCCACGGGTGATCCTAAACCAGTTTGAACAGTTGGGGTCCCACATGCAAAGCATTTATTTGTTCCAGAATTAATTTAGCATTGGAAATGTTGCTATAGTATAAATTTTCAAAATCTTCGCATTCTTGTTTTTGCTCGTCTGCTTCTTTAAAATTATTATTTTGACACATTTGCTCGATTTCTTGTTGGCTATTCTCAAAATCGTCAAGCATAGCTTCGATTCTGCATAAGCGGGCTTTTAAATCAATTTCCAAAACAGGGTTATCTAAAACAGTGCATTTAGTTACTGAAAAGATTTGGAATCTGTTTATTTGATTGGTTAGAGCGTCACGGCGAGCTACGAGATTATTATAAACTGCTATTTCCTCTTCGATTTGAGCTTGTTGAGGATCATTGGGTTTAACCTTACTACCTTTTTTGATTCTTGGCATTTTGGGAATTTATTGAGGTAGAAGCTTCTAAAAAATGTTAAAAAAATACTAGATTTGGTTGTTTGTCTAGCTTATTGAAAGCTTATATAATAAAGTAAGAGAAAATATGAAAACAGTTTATAAAATGGGTAAAAGAATAGATAAATAATAGCCAAAAATTGAATTGATTAAACCAGGCACAAATGTAGGTAAAAAGTTATCTACACTCATCAAAATAGTCTAGGGAACAAGAAATATCTGTCTTTCAATTGTTGGAAAGAACAACTTTTTAAAAAAGATTAAGTGCGAGTATTATTTATTGAACAAATTTTGTCAAATTTACCATGTCGGCTTTTTTTTGCAAACTTATGTAGTTTAAATATTTTAAAAATCAAATCAGCAAAAATTTCTGATAAGTATAGGAATTATCTTGTTCCCTAGACTATTTTGATGTGCGTGTATTTGAGAAGAATGTTATGTGAAGTGGTTCAAATGGTTACAATATTGGCTTGTAAATATGTAGGATTGAGTATTGGATAGGACCGACCTTATATTTCCATGTTTCCATTAGTAAGAAGTATCATATCACAATTTTCCTTTAATGGGTAGGAATCTTACAAATTCTTATGTATTTCAGCTCTTTCCTTGATTAAAATCTTTCTATCCGGCTCGAAGGACCATGAAGAGTTGCGGGGATCTTCTATAGCTGGAGGTACTTCAGATATCCCCACGGATGGATAAATTGAAACAAGTTTAATTTTATAACTTTAATTATAAGTATGAAAAATTTAGAGATCTTCGAACAAGAATCTTTTGGCTATTAGTATTATAACAATTGAAAAATAAACGTTTTTATTTTCCATGCCAATGACGGCCAAAGCCTTCTAACTATTCCGTGGATTAGGCGTTTTCAAAAAAAAAAATATCAAAACTTTATTGACGCAACCTTCAGAACGGAACGCATGGCATTGATGTCAAATAAAAATGTTCATCCGGAAACGCTTTGTTTCCAAGATACAGGGTGTTAAGTTTTTCAAAAAAAAAAATGTTTTTTATTAATAGCCCAAAAGAGCTTTGGACGATTTCAATGAAATTTTCACGGTTTATTTAAACCATTATCTGTAGAGATCCGTGGTTTTGATGGGCTTTAATTCAGAGGCACTATTCGATTTTAAAGAGTTTTAATTGGAAATTATATCGCTGGCAAAACTAATATCGTGACAACTTGACACATACATGACAATATTATAAACTAGTTATTAGTTGTCATGGGAAACAAATGTGTTCATAGATACCGCTCTTCTTTAGATCTGCATGAACAATTGAATGTTCTATTGTAACAAATTAATATAAGAATTGCATTTATCAACACACTTCCCCAATTCTTATAATACACTAACAAAATCTAATACATATAACTGAGCAGTTCCTAAAAAAAAAAATTATCATTGTTTATGCACAATTGAACAAAATAATAATTTCAATTTTTCTCATAAACATTTAGTAAATTTCGAAAGTATTTGAATTTAGGTGCACTTAGAGACTTTGTGAAAACATCTGCAATCTGCTCAGAAGTAGATACATAAAACAATTTAATCTTGTTTTCACTGACACATTCTCGTACAAAATGGTGTTTAACATCTATGTGTTTTGTACGTTTAGTTTCTAATGTGCTTGACATTTTCATACAGGCTTGATTATCCTCAAAAATATTCACACAAAACAAAATTATCGAAAATCTTAATTCCATATCCTGTAATGCTTTTTCTGTCCATGATTCATTTGCATAATCGGAATCTACATAAGCACTTATGATTTGATTTGATTGTCCTGACTTTTTATATAAAATACCCAAATTCTCAGTATTTTTCAAGTATCTCAAAAAAAAATTTCAAATATTCCCAGTGCTCACTACTAAAACAATTTTGGAAACGACTAAAAAAATAAATAGAATAACTTAGGTCAGGTCTTGTACCTAGCATTATGTACATCAAGAAGCCTATTAATTCTCTATATGGTAAACTTTCACTTTTATTTTCGTGTTTATCAAAACTCAAATTCAATTTTACTTGTATTGGAATACTGCTTGGTTTACAATTTTGCATATTGAATTTTGATAAAACTTTTTGGATCAAATCTTTTTGACTCAAAAACAACATATTATCGAATTTCTCAATTTTCAAACCTAAAAACGTTAAGCTAAGAGTGTCCTGATATTTAGGTGAAAGGTCACGCATTTCAAAAATAGACATCATTTTCTTTTTAAAATTGTCTAACTTTTTCTGACATTTGCAGAATAAAATTAAATCATCTACGTGAACAATCAGATAAATATTATTGTCATAATACAAATAAGGATCACATTTAGATCTTTTAAAGTTGAAATCAATTAACTGCATGTGAAGTTTTTGATACCAACACTTAGGAGCTCCCCTCATTCCATATAAAGACTTTTTAAGTTTACATACATACTCACTGGCTAAATGGTTTGTCTTTAAACCTTCAGGTATTTCCATATACACTGGTTCTGGTAAATCCCCATTCAGAAATACACATTTAAAGTCTAACTGATTGATACACAAGTCATTTTCTACACTCAGGGATAAAAGTACACGAATAGACATCATTCTCGCCACAGGTGAGTAGACTTCGAAATCATTACGCTGTCCTTGTTGATAGCCTCTAGCTACTAATCGAGCCTTTTTAATCACTTTTCCATCACTCGCGATTTTTTGCTTACTATCTAGAGTCTATCACTTTCACAGTCATAGGTCTTTCTATCAGTTCCCAAGTTTCGTTTTTGTCTATTGCACTTTACTCACAATCTATAGCTTCTTTCCATCCTTTTGACATAGCTTCATTGAAGTTCTGTGGAGAATCGAAGTTTTCTAAAAACAATGCTGCCATCATTCCTTCATCATCATCAGAATAATTCATTTCATAATCAGTTAATCGTAAAGGTATTTGTCTGCTTCTTCTTGGTCTATCATTTTCAATCTGTACATTCTCATCTACTTTATCGTCAGATTCTTCATTATGACTACTTTCAGAGTCATTTTCTTTATAATCAATTCCAGTTGTAGTTTTCTCTTTTTCCTTAGAAACTCCACACATTTTTGTCTCATCAAAAACAACATTCCTGGCAACTACTGCCTTTTCCTCTGCTGCATTCCAAAGACGATACCCATTGTTCGTATACCCAATAAGGTACCATCGTCACCAAAAGTAACTGGGACAGTAGCATATCAGCTCCTGTACTATTATATGACTTTTAGCGTCAAATATTTGTCAAACTATTAATTTTAGGTTGAGTTTACGACGATGTCAGAGAATATAAACGTCAAAGGAGCTTCCGGACGTTCGGTAATTATGAAAAGGAGAACTAAGAAGTTTACATTATTACTTTTCCAAATAAAAACAAAGCGGTCAAAAAAAAAATTGCATGCTTTTCTAACTAATCAAAATTCTAAAAACAAAATATAAACTTGAATAATGCGAAAATCTTTCATAAAATACAACCTTTAACTAGGTACAATAGCTTGAATACAAAAATTAAAACACCAACCCAAACCATAATTTGAATAAATAACTTAATATTTTGTCATGGAACCATTATCTTCAATTACGTTTTGTAATCTCTGAGGCATGCTTAATACCAAGTCTCTCGTATATTCTGGGGTTATTTGGTTCCAAGCTCGAATAATTGATGCCCGAAGATCACCTTCCTTACAAGGTCGAAATTCTTCCTTATATATTTGTTTGGTCATTTCCCCCCAGATGTTTTCGATTGGATTCAAATCGGGGCTTTTTGGAACCCAGGGCAAAGTTACGATATCATGATTTTGAATAAAATTTTGAACTACTCTGGCTGTATGTATAGGGCAATTATCCTGTTGAAATACATAATCGTCTCCGAAAACTGGCCTTACAGAAGGTAACATAATTCTTTCTAGAATATTGCAGTAAACATCTGTATTAAGCCTCTCTTCAATAATTATGGAACCCTGATACTTATCCAACCCCAGACATTCACAGAAAAGCGACCACTTCGATTTATTTTCCGTGTATATCTTTCTTCATACCTCATCCCCACAGGTCTATAAACGCGCAGTGTCCCATTGTGGCACGACTGAAACGTTTTCTCACCAGAAAATATAACATTCTCCCAGAAATTATTTTGGTTTCCGTACTCTCTTGCAAAATCCAACCTTCTCTGCTTATTATCTTCTGTGAGGAATATTTTGTTAGAAGCAGCGCGATTTCTTAGGTTTGATAATCGTATTCTTCTTCTTGCTGTGTTTGCCGAACCAGGAAAATGTATTGCTTCTTTAGCCTTTATTGCTGTTTGAAATGGATTGTCTCTAAGAAATTGCACCAATTCATGGTCTTGATTCGGTGTTGAAACTTTTGACCACGCCTTTGGTCTCTGAATTATACCACCATATTCAGCAATTTTTTGCTTGGCTAACAAAATTGTATTTTTGCTCACTTGCAGTTCTGCAGCAATTTGTCTAAAACTGTTTCCATCCCGGATTCTAGTAAAAATTATTGACTTCTGTTCCTCTGTTAGATTGGGCATGATAATAAGATGTAGAGAGATCCAGAATTCAAAATTAAATCGAAATAAGGACAATGTCAAAATAAAAAAAATTGATTTTGACAATGCCACTCTAGGTTAGCTAGGAAAAATAGTCCAGGAGATTAATATGAATTATTAGTGTCCCAGATACTTTTGGTGACGATGGTACATCTTCTGACTTCTCTTGTCAAATTTATTTTTCCGATTTTTAGCAGGAATATGCACATATGACATACAACCAAATATTTTGATTTTGGACAAATCTGGTTTTTGTCCAAACCAAATTTCTGCTGGTACCTTTTTCTCAGGTAAAGTTGAAGTAGGCGTTCTATTGGTTAGAAAAGCTGCTGTAGATACAGATTCCTCCCAAAAAACTTTTTCCATGTTTGCCTGAAAAATCAAACACCTAGCCTTATCCAAAATGGTACGATTATATCTTTCC